GCCGCGCACCACCCCCCCCCCCCCCCCCGCCCCTGCCCCTCCCCCCAGCCCTGCAATTCAGAGAATGAGCGTGCACTTTTGCTACTGGGAAGCACCTGGTCATTTTCCTACTAGGCCAGATCTTTTCCTCAGCCTCTAATCATGGCTCACATCTACTCCTGGGGACACCCAGAAGGGGAGGGGCCATAGGCCTGTCGGTCGGGCTGAGGAGGAAAAGGCAGACACCTGTCTGTGCCAGGTTTGGGACATTCGTGACAGAAGATGTGAACATTTAGCCTGGCTGCCTTCACTCTGTGCATCAGTACATCGTGGAATGTCATTGATGCCGGCTGCCTTTTCTTTGCCTGTGTCTATTCTTGCATTGCTCTTGTTCCATGACTGGTTTTTCCAAGTGAGGGTTCTGCAGGCAGGTGGGTCACTGGGGAGCAGGGTGGGGGCCACCTCTACCTGTTCTTTTCCACCTTGATGCCTGACCCCACATCTGGGAGTTCACACCCTAGGGCCCAGTGTTCAGAAGAATCAGCTGGTGGGCCATCTGTCTGGAAGGGCAGTGTGAAACCTTGTGTTCAATGGCCATCCCCTACCTAGAACTCCGTGGGTGTGTATCTATCTCTCTCTCTCTCTAGATGGAGCCCAGTCCAGCTGGCCAGGCTTGCTCAGCTGCTGTGTGCCAGGCCCTCAATAAGTCATGTTGTTTAAGTGTTAAACCCCCATTTCTGGGCAGTGCCCAGACTCTGTAAGTGTAGTACTGAGTAATTGTCTACTGTCAATAAAGGCCAAACAGCAGCTGTGTGGCTCAGTGGGGGCGGGGGGGCTACACACAAGATACATAGCACAGGAGGAGCCTGGTCCTCTGACACCATGTTTCCACTGAATCTGAGCCTAAGGGCAAGGTCATCAATGAAATCCACATGGCTGGCATTCACTGTTTTCCTCAGAATGAACACTTAGCAGGTAGCATGTTGGGAATGAGTTGTAGACAACTGTCAGCTACTCCTAAAGCAGCGGCTTAGAGAGGGCGAGAGGGGACCAAGTCTTCATGTGTCAGCTCTGGGCTCCAGTGGGGACAGTGCTGTGGAAGGACCCCTGCCTTTTCATCATCCGTGACATGCCAGGCCACCATGAGCTCATGTAGCCCTTGGGGAGGCTGTGGCTTAGAAGTTAGTACCCCGTTCTGCTGGTGAAGAAATGGCGACTTGGACAAGCCCGAATAACGAGCACCTGGGACCCCACTCCGAGGCTTATCAATTAACCATACCGAGACACAGGTTCAACCAACAAAGGCATCATGTCCCCAGCCACTACTGTGACTAGTTAATGATCCCACTGCCCTGCTGGTACCATGATCTTAGCCCAGTGAGACCCCTGGACTTCTGGTCTTCAGTAAGAGGAGTAACCTGGCACTTTAAACTACTGCTATTCAGCCACAGAAAAGCAATCATACTGGTGTCATAGGGGCAACCTGGGGCTGGAGAAGCTAAATAAGCAGAGTTACCCTAAGTGAGCGGCACCAGGTCCCATTTATCCACTGGTGTAAAGAGGGCACAAACCTCTCCCAGGACTGACTCCCAGGTCTTTAGATACCCGCCCCTTCTCCCAACAGCAGTTTCTGGGGGTTAGAGAAGGGCTAGAGACCTACTAAGTGTTGGAAGTGCACTGGTAGGTCCTCCCTCGTCAGACAGTCTTGTGTGATGCCAAGCCTCAGGTCTCCAAGCCTTAGTTCAAGGACAAGACCGAGACCAAATGAGCAACCAACATGACCTACGGCAACTCAGTGGCCATCATACTCTTTGGGCACCTTGTTCTCTAAGCTGTGCCCACCTGTCCCTCAGCATAGCCATCTGCTCAGCCAACAGTGTGCCCAGGGACCAGCAATACAAGGAGACAGGAGCCATCAGCTTAGTTCTGGGGACTGTTTTCCCTGCTTCCCCTATCCTTGAGGGGTATTCACCCCCCTCCCCCGTCAATGGTTTCTTGATGCTCCCACCTCTGGAACTGGCCAGCTTCTCTGAGTAAACATGGTTGTACTTTCAGTAGCTGTGATAAAGACCACGGGCAAAAGCAACTCAAGGAGAAAAAGGTTCGTTTGACTTACAGGTCACTGTCCATCACCATGGAAGTCAGGGCAGGAACCTGGAGGCGGGAGCTGATGCAGAGGCCACGGAGGGGTGTTGCATATCAGCTTGCTCCCCATGACTTGCACAGCCCACTTTCTTATAGAACCCAGGACCACCTGACCATCCAGTGGGCTGGCCCCTCCCACATCAATCATTAATCAATAAAATGTTCCCCAGACTTGTTTATGAGCCATCTGGATGGAGGCAATTTCTCAATTAGGTTCTCTCTTTCCAGATAACGCTAGCCTGCATCAAATTGAAGAAAAAGGACAATTAACTAGTACATCTGAGGCCAGGCGTAGGTGGCACACACCTTTAATCCCAGCACTCAGGAGGCAGAGGCAGGTGGATCTCTGTGAGTTCGAGACCAGCCTGGTCTACAAGAAAACCTAGTACACCTGGGCAAGCTCATGGATGACTAGTAAATCCTGGGCCCTTAGTATCCTAGGTAAGATACAACTCTCAGGGCTGGAGACACGGTTCAGCGGTTAGAGCACTGGCTTAAGACCTAACACTAATGCACAAACTGACTTAGTGGAGCCAATTCTATATGGAGAGATACCTTGCTCAGCCTAGACACAGGGGTGTCGGGGTGGAGAGGTGCCTTGGTCCTGCCTCAACTGGATGATGGGACAGACTTAGTAGACTTACTAGGGGAGGCCTTATCCTCTCTGTGGAGCAGATGTGAGGAGGGAGAGTGGAGGGAGTGGGAGGAAAGGAGGGGGAACCGGGATTGGAATGTAAAAAATAAATTAATTAAAAAAAAAAAAGAGCACTGGCTATTCTTCCTAGAGGACTGGTGTTTGATTCCGAGTACCCATATGGCATTTCACAGCTGTCTGTAACTCCACTTCCCAGGGATCTGACACCCTCACACAGACATACATGCAGGCAAAAAATCAGTGCACATAAAAATAAATAAATCTTTTCTTAAAGATATAACTCTCTAGACCCTGAATGAGACAGTAGACCAAGGACAATTTATGTTTTGTTTGGCACGGGGGCTTGCTACGTAGCCCAGGCTATCCTAGAACTCATGAACTTTCTGCCTCTGGTTGTCCAGTGCTGAGACGACAGGTACCAACCATTATGCTGGGCTAATCCGAGTTTTTTTAGCAAGCAACCTGCTAAATTTAAGAACAAATCAAAGAAAGGGAGTGAGGCTCCAAGGCAAAGAACACAAGCATCCACCAGGCACATTGCGAGGCAGATCCAGGGGTAGCAGAGACCAGAGACTTCCCCAGCTCAGCCTCAGGGTAAGGATGGACATGCCACAGTCTCCTCCACAATGAGGGTGAGCCTGGCTGCCTCTGGGAAGGTCTGTCTCCACCAGGCTGGGTCTGCCTTCGGAGTGGCATTATTGAACCGGAATTGAGATGGATGGGAGAGCAGCAGGGAGGCGGAGCAAAGCCTTAAGCACCGGGGCCGGGATATAGGCTGTTGGCCTCTGTGATGTGTGACGCTGGGGTGTCTCCCATGTCCTGAATTCCTGCTTCCCAGCTACTGGCACTATGATGTGAGACTGTGTCACTGTTAGGAGTTGGGGCCTGGCTGGCAGAAGGTCAGAGGGCTGGGACTTGGAAGGTTCCAGGGAGAAGTGAACGTACTTGGTCACACTTCCAACTGCTCTCTGCCTTGCCAACTATGATGGACCAAAACCACAAGCCAAAATAAATCCTGTCTTTTTCAGCTGTTTCTGTCAGATATTGTGATCACAGTGTCAAGCAACAGACACAGCAGGTTAAAAGGTCCAACTCTAAGCAATTTTTTAAAAAATGCATGTGTCTTGTTATTTTGAGGCCAGAAGAGGGTGTCAGATCCTCTGGAACTAGAGTTATATACAGTTGTGAGCCACCCAGTGGGTGCTGGCCACCAAACCTGGGTCCTCCTGAAGACTAGCCGGTGCTCTTAACTGATGAGTCATCTTTCCAGCTCCTCCAGAGACTTTTAAGTTTAAATCACTTT